AATATTTGCTTAAAATTTCCCTTTTCAAAATGTGAAAACTAAAAAAAAAAAAAAAAATAATCAGATGTTTTCACTGCCAGGGAAAGGTATGGACAGAAACAGAGGAGAAATGTCTGGAGAAAAGCTGTCTCCTAGCTTTGTTGAATACTGGAGAAGGAGGAGATGGATGAAAAGCACTAATGAAAAGAAAGTTTGAGGAGTGGACTCGAAGGCTGACTTACTGCTTATCTGATTCCTCTGCAAACCGGGCCAGCTGTCTCTCAGGATGGTTTCAGGTGGCGTCTGCTGAGCCTCCTGACTCATCTGCGTGTGGGTTTTGGATGTGCTGGAGCTGAACTGAACCTGCCAGGCACTTGCAGTTTGCTTTTACACACATGGAGGAGAGCTGGGCTGGTTGGACCGAGCGCTACAAAGCCTCTTTCTAGGAAAGGAGCTTTGCGTAACAGAAGGGTTTAAAATAGGTCGTTGTCAAGGTTTAGGGCATCTGCAGAAGAAAGTAAACAAGCGGTCCGGCGAGGCCAAGATGGGAGAGCAGCTCTGCACCGAGCAGGATCTGCCCCTGCTCACAGACAAGGCTGTGCTTGCAGGAGGGTTTGGCTGGCAGGAAAGTCAGCCTCGTGTTTACGACAGCGGGACTCGGATTCTCCACGTGATCCCTGACAAATCATTTAATCCCAGCGCTCCGGGAGGGAGGAATCACCTCCCCATGACACCCAAGGCTTTGGGTGCCAAGCTCTGTGGGGGCACAGCTTGCACCCGGGCATGAGGCACCCGGAGCAAACGTGGGATCGCCGTGGAGCTGCATAGGAGTGGGAGGCTAATGGGAATGAGGAGATGGTGTTGGAGCAGCCACCCCAGCCATGGCCATGGCAGAGCCAGGGCAGAGCCCATCCCAGGAGGACTCAGATGCGGAAAGAAACAAAAAACAAGGCAAAAAAACCCACCAAAAAACCCACACAACAAAAAACCAAACAAAACAACCACCAACCGCCTGCAAAAGCACCGCAAAGTCCTTAAAAACGCCCTCAGGCATTCGCCGAGCAAAAAAAAATCCCAGGAGAGATACTGGAACAAATCCAGCTGGCTCCCTAGGTGATGCTGAACCGCGGCACGTCACCTTCCCGGGGCACAGGGCTGGTGGGAGGCTGGGGCACGCACCCACCCATCCATCCACGGAGGAGGCCAGGGACGGCTCTGCCCTCCCTACCCTCCCTCCCCGGGAGGGTACAGGCCGTGCTGGAGCAGGGCTGTGGCACCCGGGGGGCTGCGCGGGGGCTCTGCGGAACATCTGCCAGCTGCCCGGCCCCCGCGCCGCCGGCCCGCCAGTACATCTTGTTTGTGTTTTTCCGCGGAGCGCACTCCCAGCGGGTTATGTCAGAGGTGAGGAATGCAGGGCCACCCTGTGTCATGAGATCAGACTCACATTTTTAGGCCGGGCGCTTACCGTATTTGCCGGGAAGCGGCGCGCAGGAGGCACGCGGGGCCCCGGAGGGGTGGGAGATAAACCCCTCCATCGCCTCCATCCCGCTTTTCCAGCCCTCGCTCCAGCTAAGAGCCGGGTGGAGCGGATGGGGCCCGTCTGCTGGAACAAGCTCTCCCTCTGTTCCCCGCAAGGAGCAAGAAAGGAAACGCAGTGAATTAAGGCGAATGAAAAGGCGGCAGTGAAAGGCGGCCCGGGCTCGGTGCCAAGCGCTCGGAAAGTGCTCACGGAGAGAGGGAGAACTGGTGCGGAGCTGCTCCCTGCCGCCCGTGAAGGCATCGGCACCGGGATTGCCCCGTGTGGGGGGGGGACTCGTCCGGACACCAGCACCCACCAGGCTCCCAAGGGCTGGAAGCGTGAGGAGGGACACGAACCCGGCCAGGGAGAGCCGGGCTGGGATGTGGAAGCAGTTTGCAGGGTCTGACCCAAAAAAACGCCGCCCAGAGCAGTGGCTTTCCCCCAGTTTCGTTGCTGGGAGCCAACCCTTACGTCCAGCCTTTCTAAAGTTTCTGGGCTGCTCTTCCCGAGTCCCTCTGCTCGAGCAAAGCTGGTGCAAAGCAGCTCTGCTGGTGTAGTACAAGGTTGCTGCGCTGCACTTCCCCTGTTTTTTCTGGCTTAAAACTTGGAGGCTCCTTTGCAGCTACGCATCCCATCCAGGGTAGGAGGAGGGGAGCCGCTTTGATCCTGGTGCCACTGCAGAGAAAACCCACTGCAGCAGGGTCAGACCCTGGCGCAGGGAAAGGCTCCCCCTTTCTGCTCTGCTGTGGATTTTGCTGCCTTTTTTTTCTTTTTTTTTTCTTTTTCTTTTTCTTTCTTTTCCTGAATTAGCTACAATAGAAGGTGTCTTCAGATTTTAGATTGAAAAGCTCAAAAGTGAAGAGAAAATGCTTCCACAGACCATGTGCAAACTGAACACCACTGTTTGTTGGTGTTTTTTTATTTGGTTTTTTTTGGTTTGTTTTTGTTCTGTTTTGCCTTACCCAGGATTTTGACATGGTGGTGTTTTGTTCTGTGTCAGAAAAAAAAAAAAAAAAAAACAACAAACCCTGAAATACCAAAGTCTTTCACACAATGGACTTTCCTTTCTCTAAACATCCCCGTGAGCTGGGCCTCTTGCAGCTCTCAGCTCTTCCCAGAGCAGGAGAACAAATACTGGGAAATCTGGAGGGATGAACTGCCCAGAGCTGGCTGCAGCAGCCCTGTGTTATTCAATGTCTCCAGTGCTGGCTGCCCCTCCCCTGGAGGAGGCAGGTGAACCTCCAGCAAATGCTGCTGGTTCCTGTGCTACTGGCAGTTTTCTGCTGTGCACCTCAGTCTCCTTTTTGTGTCCCTGTGAGATGTGACGGGACAATTTCAGCTCCTCATGTCTTATACTCCAACTTCTGCTCTTCGTGTTTGTTATGTCACCTCCATGAGCAGTTCCAGACTTCTTTGGGCACTCTACCATAGTCCCAGAAATCTGTCTGGGAAATTCTCCCTTTCATGGCAAATGCTGATTTTGGGTCCTCTCTAGGCTTGTGGTGCTACGGAGGCACCAGAGAGTGTCCTGTGGAGACGAGAGAGGTGACCAGCAGGGACAGAAGGGACTAGCAGAGAGCTCCAGGGGGACCCTCAGACCCAGCACCCTCCCCTGGGCAAGGGGATGGAGGGTCCCTCAAAAGGCAAAGGTGATGTGTTGACAGGAAAGGGCTGGTTGCTGCCTCATAAAAATAAGGAGGGAGAAGTTATGGTGTGGGATCCTTGGGAAAATGAGGCTTGTTTAATGGTTGAGGATTTTATTCTCTTTCTTCCCTCCCTCTTCATCTGCCTTGCCTTTCATAAAGTTGTGCTTTGATAAGATTTTCTGTTTTATCATTTAGTGTGGACATTTGGTTTCCTTTTCCCTGGATTTGGAAAGGATAGCATTTAGCTATCAGATAGCATTTAGCAACACCCCTGGACAAAAAATCAGGGCTAGACAAGACCCAGAGAAGCGATTGCATCTACCTTGGCTGATCCAGAAGGCTTCTGCACTATGAATGACATGAAATAAGGATCTTGGCTTTCATTAGATCTTTCAGCTGCCTGGAATGCTTTACGGATCAGAATTCATCATTAGTAATAATTACATATATTTAGACTTGATATAAGTTCAGTTCAACTGCAGTGAACTCATTCGCTTCTGTTACGCTCCTCCAGTCTGGGGGGAATACGCTGACATTGCTTAGCAACCTTTAATCATTTTGGTGGAGCACAATAGTCTGGGAAGGCTGAAGTTTATGTCTCTTACCCTGCCCCAGGTAGTTACTTCATCTCCCAAATAATAAGTTATCTAACCTTGTCATTTGTTTCTAATCACCATTATTTTCTGAGCTGGAATGGAGCATCCTGAAATCACAGAATATCTCAAGTTGGAAGGGACCCAGAGGGATCACAGAATGGTTTGGGTTGGAAGGGGCCTTAGGGATCGTCCCATTCCAAAACCCCCTGCTATAAGCAGGGACACCTTCCACTATCCCAGGTTGCTCCAAGCCCCATCCAATATATCCTTGAACACTTCCAGGGATGGGACATCCACAGCTTCTCTGGGTCCTGTGCCGGGGTTTCACCACGCCCACAGTGAAAAATTATAATAAAGATCATCAAGTCCACCTCCCTGCTTTTTGCAGGACTGCTACAAATGTGTATTGCTTGACTTTAACGCTGGGTTATCACTCCTTCTGCAGCGTGGCAGTGCCCCAGGATATCTCAGGCAGATCCCAGAATATAAGGCAGCAATATCTGCGTGTGACCCAGGCAGGCAGCTGCTGGTTTGACTCGGAGCAGCACAGCAGAGGGATGTGCTGCGCCTGCCAAAGCAGATACTGTGGGTTCTTTATTTCCTAATTGTCACTTTTTCTATGACTGCCTCAAACAGAACCAAGGAGCACGGAAAGAACAGTGCTTCCCCTGTCAGGGATGGGGTGGAAAAGACGGAAAAAAAAAGGCAGAAGGAAGAATGTGGTAAAAAGCACCACAACATCCAGGGGGCCTGACTCTGATTTGCTTGAAGCAATGTAAACAAGCAGGCTACAAAACCTAAGAGCTCTGACTGATGTTGGCACCAGAAAAACAAGGAAAACTTGTTTTAGACCAATTATACTGGAGAATATTCAGGAGATTTTCAAGACGCTGAAAATCATCATCATAAACAGAGGAGTAATTTGAGTTTTAGGGCCAGATTTAAACACCAGGGCTACAAGAACCAGATATTTAACCTGATATAAAGTGACTGTTTTATTGTTTCTAAAGATTTTGCATTGTTTGAAAGATTTCTACCATAAGATCTCTCAGCTGCTCTGCTCAGCTCCCTGCTGGGACACCCTGCAGCCCATCCAGGCTCATCTTCCCCAAGCCCTCCACCCACTTTTCTGCTCCCTGTACCCCAAATCTCTAGATAACTTGTAACTACCAGCCATGATAAAGTTCTCTACTCATGTTCAGGGTAGGACTGCTGCTCCTTCCTATGAAACCCACTGGAAGAGCATCGCACACACTTGGACTTCTGAGCAACTCAACTCACCTACACAAAAAAAAAATGAGGTAGAGCTGGTAAGTCTGAGTGAGGGGCCCAGGTCAGCCCCTGTGGAGAAATAGGACAGGACTTGCAGGGAGATCTTATTCCTTGGTGTTCTCCAAGTTCCCATTAGGAGCAGGCAGAGCTACCTAGCTTGCATGGATTCAGCTATGTGTCCCTCTTGGCCACCTCTCCCCTGGTCTCTGGTGAGACTAGAAACAAGAGGCTGCTGCTCCACCTTTACCCATGTACTCCAGGGCAGACCTAGAGATTGTGGGGGAATATTTATCCATGAGCTGTCTGAAGGCCAAGGGCAGTGGGAGTCGTGCTGGCACCAGTGGGATGCCCTGTCCCTACCATAGAGAGGTCTCTGGAGCGTGATATTAGGCTGGATGTATTGTTCCAGAGGATAACCAGGGATTCCCTGGAACACTGCTTTATTCAGGGCCATCTGCTATCTCACAGTCCCATGACCAAGAGGATTGTCATGCCTCGTGATTCATCCTTCCTAGTTCCCATGGAGCAGGGAGAGAGCCACAGAAGCCCTTGGTGGTTTTGGTTCTCCTCAGCTGTGGTTCATTGCTTCTTGCTCTTCTATTCTTCAGGGAAGTGGTTCCAGTACAGAAGCAACAAACAATATAATGGCTTGTGTTCATTTACACTAATCAAACACCCCCTTCAGCTGCCCAACACTTCCCAGGAGGGTAGATACCTGGGAGACAAGAAGGCATACCTGGGAAACAATCAATGGTGCTACCACTCCAGAAAGGGCTGTAGGAAGTTTCAGGCTGCAATAACATGGTGATTTCATCCACTTCAGCAGGCCCTTTGCCAGGTGTATCCTGTCCAGCCTGTGCTGAACTGACTGGGGATGAGGAGAGGCAGTGGCAGCCAACTCCAAATGGCCAAGACCAGCCTCATGTCAGTGCTCAGTAGCTGATTCATGTTTTGGTCTTCTGCCCCACCCAGTCTAGAGCGAGTTCAGCACAACCCTTTGAGCTTCACTTTCCTGCTTTCAGGACTCTCCCTCCTTCAGAGATCTTCCCACATTCGTGGCCCAACCCATCCGCCACCAGTTCTCTCTCTTCTCCTGGACTGGACACCACGCAGGGCAGGAGCCAGGAGCTTGCTGGCTTTGATTCATCATCCTCCAGGAAGAAAGCTGGCTGATCCTGCTGGCCACGCTTCCTCTTGCACTATCTGCTGTTCCTGACAGCCAGCCTCAGCACAAAGGCTTGGTGTTCATCTGCACCACCCCATCTCCAGGGGAAAGGCCACGTCTGGGGGTCACTGTTCCCACATGGCACTGCTGAAGGTGGCAACTGGGAAGTGGAAATGGTGCTGTGTTATGCCCTGGCAATGCAATTGCATCCCGTCTCATTGGGGTTTGAGAGGTTTTTGCTAAAGTCAGTGACCCAGGAACATCTGCACATCCTCAAAGCAGTGCCTTCCACGAACCTCTCCACCAGGCACAAGCGCTCACGTGTCCTGGTGCGCCTGGGAATGTGGCTGTGCTGGCTGGTGGGCTGGACAGGCTGCCAGTCACCATGGATACTGCAGTGTGTGCTCCGGATTTGTCAAAAAACCCATGGGAACACATTTATATCCCACCAGCTTTGTCCCACAAGGCCATTCTCAAGTTTGGTGTGTGTTAACAATCAAAACCTGATGGCTTCCCACGGGTCCCAGACTCCTGGATGATGTAAGCATTCGTTGTCCCTGTCCTTAAATAACTACAGAGCAGAGCCAAATGGATTTTCTCTCCAACAGATGGGCTGCTGACAGGTGCTGCTGGAGGCTGAGAGATGGAAAATCAAGGATACCCTGACATGGTCTGTCACTAGCTTGAAGAGAAAAAAGCAGGTGAGATTTGGTTTCCTTATTCTGGCACGTTATTTAGATGCTCTAGAAGTATAATAACACAATATCGTTGTGTTAGGAAAATATTATTACCTTGTCTTAAAGGCAGGAGAGTGGGATGTGTCTTAGAGATGGAAGACTGGGATATGTCCTTTGGGACAAGGAGGATCTGCTTCCATAACACAGGTCCCAGAAGAAGCAGGGTTGTGTCAGAATGGTAAAATAACAGAAGACAAAAGCTTTTCTTTCTCTCTAAATAAGTAATTTCTGTGCTTCCTTTGTGGTTCTCTTTTAAAGACTTGCTGAATTCAAGGAGGATGTGGTCACACTCATTGGAAACTCCAGATGCTGCAATATAGAAACACAAATCTGCATTAAATTCACATTTTTAATGAGTTAAATGTCATGTGTTTTTTCACAGGCTGCTGTGATTTTTGCGTCTCTTGGAGAGCATTCACCCAGTACCTCTGATATCTCCTCCTTGATTTCTTTGACAGGATCCAGTCTTTCGTTATTTACTGATGTCACTGCAGCCTGGGAGAGAAATTAACACAGTCGTGAATTATGGACCATGCTGGTAGGACATTTCACTCTGATTTAGTGTGAAAAAATCTTAGATAATTAATGATAAGTTCAAGCTACAACACTTTTCTTCTTGCTTCTGAGTGGTGAGGAGTGTCTGGGTTGAGTACTTCCACGTGGGTCACTGGGAAGGCGAGACCCTTCAGCAAAGGTGGGCCTGTGTGTAGATCTCAGTTCTGAAGAAGCCTGATATTACAGCAGTGCAGCTCCATCTCCACTCAGGAAACTCACAAGACTTTGTAAAAAAAAAAAAAAAAAAAAAACCACACAAAAAAAACCACCTCAGAATCACTAGGATGAAAGAATCACATGCTGTTGTGTGGGTGTTCTTCAGCTTTAGCCATGGGATCCTCCAGCTCTTCCTTCACCTGCAGGTCTTTTCCATCCCACCTACTACTTTCTGATGCTGAGCACCTGAGGGATAAGGAGAGAATCGTTCTGGCCTGTGGGTGTGTGTTTCTGAGATGAGGGCACAGACAGGCAGGACATAACCTGTACCTTCTCTGCAGAGGTTACCACCAGCACTATCTTCATTTTATTTGAAGAAAAGGAACTCCAACGTTACATATAAAAAAAAAAAAAATAAAGGAAGGGGTGGGTGGGAGGAGGACAGAATCTTGCTTTCTCCTTGAACAACAAAACTCTTGAACTCTTGACTCCAGGCAAAAGCAAACTGAAGTCACTGCATTTTGAAGCCGCTCTGGAAGATGATGTGCAGTGCTGTGGTCCCACAGTGAGGGGAGGGTGTCCCTAAGCACACAGCCACCCCAGGGCACAGCTAGGGGAATTCCCTGGGCTTTTCCATGTGAAGGCTCATTTTACTATAAATAACCACCATTTTAATAATAAATCCCTGCCCTCTGGAAGTCCCACCGTAATGCCATTGTCATCTGTGGGTACTGGAGATTGGGGAGGAGAAGAGGATGGGGTATGTTGGTTATTGGATGGACTCTTTCACAAGGGCTACATTTAGGTCTATCCATGTGCACAAAGCACCACAATTTGGGGAGTATGGGTGATCTTTGGCAAGGGGCCTATTCATACACCCACATTTTCAGCACCACACACACTCCTTAAGTAGTCAAGGCATAGGTGAATGCACTCTTGCCTCCCCAACAGCTCTTACTGTTGGCTATAAATCTGAGAAAATTGGGCCAATATGTGGGCATTGGGTCTGGAGGATGCCTCAGCTTGGGATTTGGAGGTTTAGCTCGTGATTTTTAACTCCTCGACATCACAGGGCCAAACACTTCCTTTGCAGAGTTTCTTTGCTAAATCAGGTTGGGTCCATCTAGGGAGCAATGGGTTTGTATCACCCCAGGAGAGCCCCTGTGGGAAGCAAGACAGTGAAAGTGGGCTCTCCTCCAGCTGTTGTAAAGGAACTGATTTTTAGTTGACAGGATAAAGGGCTGTCTTCGTGATGGGTGGGAAAAGGAAGGGACCAAGAAGCTAAAAACAGGGAAGGAACAAAATGAAAATTTAAGGAAAAAACCGCAGCATCTGGCAAAATATTTTCTCTTTGTATCCTTCCAGGGGGTAATGGTTACTCATCACCTGAATTGCCGTGGTGGTTGTGACTCCTCTCAGGATGTAAATCACAGAGTCACAGAATGGTTTGGGCTGGAAGGGACCATAAGGAACATCCAGTTCCAGCTCCCTCATATATGAGAAGCACAGCTGTACTGCACATGTGATGGCCTGGAAAGACAACTGAGTCCCTGGGGAAATGCCCAGTGACTTATAGGAAAGCCACTCGTGGTGGAGAGGAGCACTTTGAATCCCAGCTTCATGTTTTACAGGCAGCCATAAAAAAAAAAAATAATCAAACAATCATTTAGCACACCATCAGCAGATGGAGTCAGGGTTTTTTTAAACCAGAACTGTAACATGCCATGGGAGGTACTAATCTCTGTTCTCACGGTCAGAGGTCCCCTCTGATGCAGGGGGGGACTCTCCTATCCTCTGCTCACGCAGTGTGACCTGGACATCCCTGTGGCCTTGGAAATCCCCTGGCTCCAGGCCTATGCATGGAGTTGAAGGCACTGATTGCTCTTCAACATCCTGTCCCACCAGAAAGTGGATGGCAAAATATTGATTTCCTTTCAGAGGAGGCAGATTCACAGATGCTCTTATTGTGGGCTCACCTCTCCTTGGAGAGGCAAAGGGTGTGCAAAGACAAACCCCCTCCTATCCCATTTTCAAGTCCCCAGTCATGGAACAGGAAGATAACACTGAACAAAGGCTGCATAACATGCAAGATTTTGTCTTCTCCACCAAACCACAATGCAGACCCCTGTCTGCTACGTTGGCTTGCAAATATTAAATGAGGTCCTGTCTCCATCAAGCTGGACCACCTTCATCCTGGCAGCCCCAAGGTGCCATCTCTTGCTTCTACAAATTACCCCAGGGAGGTTTCCAAGCCCAGGAGCCCTTTCAGAATGAGCTTCAAGGCTGGGAAGAAGCTACTTGGGATCACAGGTAGAGGAAGAAGAAAACAGGCCTAAGGAGGCACGAGGTGTTCGACCTGGTGACAGCAGGAGTTGGCTCAGATTTGTCTGGCTCATGTCTGCACATGGGAGCAGTGGCTGCCCTGTTGGGGAGAGGTTATTAAATCTTTCCCATGGCCTTGCCTTGAGTGTCAGAGCAGCAAAACACTTGTTCTGCAGCGCTCAGAGGGGAAGTCCAAAGAAGTGGCTTCTCACAAGACAAGCCACACACACACACACACACACTCGAAGGACAGAGACTCCTCTCCAGAGTCTCACAACCACCTAGGAATTTGGGAACCTTGAGGCTGAAATCACCCCCACCACGGCACACACCTGGAGGAGCACTTCACCTTCTCTGGCTGAGGCAATTTGTCTTAACTAAAGCATTTCAATTAAAAGTCAAGACTGAGTCACTGCAAAGTGCTGGTGACAGGAGTTATTAAACTGGAACACAAGTTTTAAATAATTATTAATATGCTCTGCAACTCATCCATAAAAGGCCCTTAATCAATATGCATTTCAGTTGCTTGCATTAGGGTTTTAGGAATTTAAATTCACAGCACTGGAAGGGTTGGGAAATCGTCATGAATTTCCATCAGAGTTCTTGCACAACCAAGCCTGGGATATCATCATCGAGATACAAGCTGTTGGGAGGGTGTGACCAAATGCGTCAGACTATTTTGGTGGCCTGTGCCAAAATGAATTGGTGGCTCTTCTCTCAAGAAAATGGGTATGGGGGCACATCACTGACATGGGGGCAAGTTTTTAGAGTCCCTGTTGGTGACAGCAACAGGGATTTTGCTTGGCCATCTCAGTCAGTGTCAAACACCCTCAGGCACTTCTGGCAATTTAAGCATTACCTGATCATCCCCTGGGGAGAGAGCAGAGAGGATGAGGATGGGCTGAGACGTAGACGTGAGCTCTCAGGGCTGCAGGTGCTCATGCTTGGAGACCTCAGATCTTCACATGCAGCATTCACATGCCCTCACAGCACACAAAATAGATTTGATAAACTCCCTGCATAGCTACGGGGTTAGTTTTGTGGCTGGTGCAGAGGAAACCAAGCTGATACTCCTGCCTCCTGCTGCCGGCAGCGAGGAGAGCCATCATCTCACAGCAGGAGCAGGGAGAGGCAGGAGCATTCCCAAGGTGAGAAGGGACGAGGGGACCCATCCCAGAAAGTGCTGTGGGAATGTGGTGGTTGGAAGCAGATCGTGTGCTTCAGCATTGGGCTGGAGCAGGGCCAGAGGTGCAGAAAAGAAATTTCCAGTAAGGAGAAACCTCTAGGAAGAACCAAACCCTAGAGGAAGCTCAGGGTGAGGTTTGTGCTTCCTATTTCAGTCTAAAAAAAGCCCTGTCCCAGGAGGGGGTGAGTTTCAGTAACATCGAGATAGCCCAACACTTTGTATCCAGGAGAAGGGTGATGACAGTAAAGCAAGTGAAAGCTCAGCGAGCAGATGGACCCTCAGAACATCCCTCCCTGCAGGGTGGCATCCAGGGGCAGAGCAGCATCACCCTTGGAATGGTTCAAAGGAGGAGGGATATGCCAAAAGGAGCAGAGGTGGTTGTTGCAGCTAAAGAGAGTTGCATCTCTTTACCCCCAGAGACGGGGGCTGGGAATGTATCCCATGGTTATATGCGTGCCCTGTGCCATGGGGTCTGCATGAGGACCAGGTATTTCTCCCCCCATTTCGCCTTGGGGCAAACCAGGAGCTGGGGGCTGTGCCCTAGGAGCAGGCTGGATGCAGCCACACTTGTTTCGAAGGCTAAAAAAAATGCAGTCCTATAGAGGAAAGCCAGGTTAAGGTATTTATTAGCTTGCCTCAGGCCCTGCTTAGTTTACCGCCAGCCTAAAAATCCCCCGGTGCTGGGAAATCAGCTTGGACCGTGTATGCACATTGCTGCATCTCGGCTTGTGTTTTGTGGGGGGTGCATCTGCCTGATTTTGTCACGCTGAAGACTGAAACGAGCCAGGGAAAAGCAGGCGCTTTGGAGAGGGAGAGGAAGGGAAAAAAAAAAATAAAGGGAAAGAAAACCAGAAAGAAATCAGAAGCGGGAGGGAAGGAAAAGGGGAGATTTTGTCTCGGGGAGGCGTCGGAGCCTCCGAGGACCGTCCCCGCCGTCGCCCCGCATTACGAAAGAACTTTTAGCTTGGGCTCGGGTGCCCCTCGGTTTTGCAAGGCATCCCGGCACGGAAAGCCTGTCCCAGGCCGCTCCTCCCAGAGCGCAGCGGGGATGCTGTGGAGCCGGGAGGCCCCGCGCCGGGGCCGGGATGCAGCGGGGCCGCGGGGCGAGGAGCGGGCGGCGCGGGGCCGCTGCCATCTAGTGGCACTGGGACACAGTCCCCTGCCAGCCCCGGCTGAGAAAACCCCACCAAAACACAACCCAGACCCCTCCGACACCCCTTCCTCCCCACCATCCCTATTCACGCGGGGGTACTGGGTTCGGGTTTGGGGGTTTCCGAGGGGTTTCTTCCAGCGAGGGCTTGAGCATCTGCCAGGAAAATGCACCGAGATGAACATGCGGTGGAGCGTGAATGTATTTGCAAACGGAGGAGCCGTGTACTCCTGTCTGTGGACCTTTCCCCCTCCTTACACCTCTGCGGAGGGTGTTTTCCTCCTCTCCCTCCCTTAACAGAAATCCCTCGTGCCCGGAGCAGGGCTCTCCAGTCCTCTCCCTGCCTTCTCCTCCACTGCAGATTCCCTCTTCCCTCCCATTTTGTGGCCTCGCTGCTCCCTCTCCTGCCACTGCCCCCCATGGGGACTCAGAGAGAAGGAGCAGGAAGGACACATAGCCACATTTCTGCTCTCCCTTCTTGTATCACTTTAACACCCACTCCCCCGATCTTTCAGGGGGGCTGATACCCCTGTTTCTGCACCCGTAAGCTGAAGACAGGGGGATGCTTAAACCCCTTCTTGCTTTGTGTCTTCCTGCAAATTCCCTTACACAATCTCTTACAAATTCCCTTATAAATCTCCCCTGTTGTGCTGGGAGCTCCCCTTTACCGTGGGGGTGGCATGTCCCATTTCATCCCCACAGCACAGCCTCATATCCAGGGAAGGAAAACGGAGACAGCTTT